GACATTCTAAAATTTATTGAAACTAGTTGTTATTGGTATTTTGCCTTGAAGCAAGTTACATGAACTTCCCAATATGTGTAATTAATCGACTGAATCAATAAAAAATACATTAATTTATGAGTGATTAAAAGTATTCCGAGTGGATTTATTACACATTAATGAAAACATACAAACACGTTAACTCGAGGTATTTTCTAAAAACAAATTTTCATAAATCAATAATTTTTATAATTGAACCAGTTTCTTGGGGACTTTAATGGTTTAGTGTATTCATTAAGACCAAGTACTCTATCGTTATACCAAGTAAATTGTCTAATTTTAATTTTAAGAAACTTCACAAAAAACTACTCATTTTCTCAAACTTTGATATTTTTTTAAATTAAACTACTCGTTGTAAGGCCAAAAAATTTCAGTAAGTTCTATAAGACCATGATATATATATCGCCAAAAAAAGTTCCATAAAAATCGGCTTAATTTTTTTTTTACAACAGTTAATTTCAAAAAAACGGCTCGATAGATTTTCACCTAAAGCTAATCAGTATCATTCCCAACTAATATCTTTCGAACGATTTTTGATTTTTTAAAATCGATTCGGTAGTATGAGCTTAAATGTGGACGAAAAGTTTAACTTTTTTTTTCAAATTACAAAGGAACGGCTTGACCGATAGTCGCACAAAACTGAGAAACGATAATCCTCATCGAGATGCATCAAGTGGCTTTTAAAATGTCTGAAATCGGTTCAGGCGTTTTTGAACGAACGTCGATGAAAGGTCTTATTTTGACAAATGCCAAAAAAACGATACTAATTTTTGCAAACTTTGACGAATTTTTAAAGTTAAACAAGTTGTCCTAGGGCCGCAATATTTTAGTATGATCTATAAGACTATGGTATTTTCTAGTGCAAAACGATACAGTGACATCAGGCTTCCCAAAACGGGTCTCGAATTTGAACCTCTGATTCGATGTTTAGCATAGCTTTAACCACGAGGCTATGGAGAAGCCCCAAAAATTCAAAACAATGTAATATTTGCTTAAAATGTCAATCTTGGAATTATATTTATCATTTCAACTCTAAATATATAGTACGTCTCTGGTAACATTTCGTATTATACTTCATTTCCAGATGCCCTATGTCCTATACCACCGCCCAGGTCTTTTCTTTTGCTCTTTAGAGTAGCTCCTTGTAAGTTAAAACAATTTCCAGAACATTTTCATACTTCAACGAACGCTTTGAAATAAAATAACTCACACTCTGTAGAAGTTTGAAACGGACTACGCTCAGACATTCGTACCGAAATATATTCGTCTTATAAATTGTTATAATTAATTTATACCGAATTACACACATGTTAAAACAAACTATATTTCTTTATATTTTTAAGACTGTTTTTTAGCTTCCCGTACCGTACGTTGTAGTAATCGCAAAAAATCGAAAATGAAAATGTTTATATATCTTTACGTTTCTGATGTTTCTGAACATTTTGGCATTCCTTAGAAAAAAAAGCATGTGTTTGTGTGTGCGGATACAAATTTTTGTCGACGATTTCGGGAACACGGTTCAACCGATTTAAATGATTCAAAAAACATTGGATTCCTATTGATAAGGAGACATGCTAATTAGTTTTAGGCGAAGGCAGGTCCAGCCGTTTCAAAGATGTCACTAATTCAAAAAACAATTTACTTGTATTAACAAAATGGGGAACTGATTGAATTTTTGGGAAGGCAGGTCTAGTGGTTTCGAAGATCGAGTGAAAAAAATGCAAAAAATGTTATTTGGCAGTCAAAAATGATCAATAGATATATGCACATCAAATTTTTCAGATATTTTATATATAATTTAATAAAAAGTATAAATTTTTTTACATGCATTTTATTAGTATATTATTGTTACTATATTAGTAAAAGTGTTGACAAAATATTTTAATGTATCATAACTCTCATTACATTTTTACTAACGAATAAAAGTAACTTATCGCCTTTAAAAAAGATACTAAAATATTTAGTAATTAGGAAATCCATAATTGCCTATCAATATCGGAATATTACTCGTATATGAGATAGTATACAAACAATGGTGGATCCAGCTTTGGCTTCTGGGGGGGTCACTTAATTAAATTATGTATAGAACATATATTCGCAATACAATAAGAAAAATCGTAAATTTTAGGAGCCTTTGACTCCGCCGTTCGTCTATAATGAGTTACATATTGAATTTATAGAATGTGTTTGGTAACAAACTACATAAATAAAATCATTATGAAGTAATTTTATTGCTAAATGAGTGTTCTATCTAAGCCTTAGGACAAGTTCAGGGGGTAGTCATGACCCCCGTGACCCACCCCCGTCCGAAATTGTCGATGAAAATTTGTATCCGCGCACACATACATCAATTTTTTAAGGTACGCTAAAATGTTCAGAAACCTTTGAAACGTAAAGATATACCAAATTTTTCATTTTCCATTTTCTGGCGATTACTATGACTTTCCCTTTTAGAAGTTTATCGAGTGTGCCAGTCTAGAAAGTCTTTAACGCAAGATTTATAATTCTTATTAATTCTTATTAGAACAAATATGAATATTTTGATATATTATCGTAGTATAGTATGTAATGCGTAATAAATTTTCTTAAATCAAATAGTTATTTTAATTTTAGAAAAATGAGACATAAAAACTATATTTAAATAAAATTTCAGGAAGGGGGCGGCATTTTTCTCAGTGCCCCAAGGCGCCAAGTTTCTAAATCCGGCCCTGGATATATATATATATATATATATATATATAAATGTTGTACTATATAATACAAAAATATAACACATAACCTATAATAAACACATGTTATAATAAATTTATGCAGGCATTTAATTGCTATCGCTATATTATAATGAAAAAGTATACTTGTAAAAGTACATGAGAAATACGATAGAAATTTAAACCAATTATCAATCAAGAAAAAAATGAAAAAGGCTTACAGTTTGTTCCAACTTCATCTGGCAAAACTTCAAAAAGGACGTGATAATTTTCCTTCACAATCAATGAAAAATAACACTTTGTTGGAACCTTATTTTCAAATAACACTATCACTATCTAATAATGCCAGTTTAATAATTATTAATAAAATAATAACACAAATACTTCATATAAAATATGTTTTATGAAATAACACTATCAAATACGTAATGTCAGTCAGTTTACCTGACATGTTAAGTTGTCGCCAAATGTCATCTAATTTAAGGTGATACCGCCAAATAAAATATGTCATCCATGTTCGCCAACAGAAGAAAAAAAACATCGCAAACTTTTGGATTTCCAAAGTCACATGATCTTAAATCTAGTCATATAATCTTAAATTGCTGGAACTTTTCGCACCGTAATTAGAAATCTTGGTACGGAACCCAAAAAAATTTACACAAAATGTGTACACATTATTAAAATCTCTATAATATATCTAATAATTTGATGTACATATGTCCAATAAGCATTTTTGCCCGCCAAATTACATTTTTTCAACTTATTTTCATTGAAAGTCCATGACCGCTGGATCTGCCTTCCCAAAAATTTAATCAGTTCTTCATCTTATCAATACAAGTAAAATGTTTTTTGAATTATTAAAATCGGACACTCCGTTCTCTTAAATACTGAGTTACCGTTTTTGGCGCTTTTTGCCCCGTATCTTCGGAACGGCTTGACCTGCCTTCGCCAAAAACTAATCAGCACGTCTCCTTATCAATACGAATCGAATGTATTTTGAATTATTCAAATCGGTTGATCGGTGTTCCCGAAATCATCGACGAAAATTTGTATCCGCACACACACACACACATACACCCATTTTTCTAAGGTATGCCAAAATATTCAGAAACCTTTGAAACGTAAAGAGATATAAATATTTTCATTTTCGATTTTTTTGCGATTACTATAACTTGCCCTACGGGAAGTTAATATTATATCATGGCGTTAATAAATCGCTTATAAAACTTTTGTTAGGTTATAAAATTTTAGATTTTTTTTTTAAGTTAATTTTGTTTCTATTAATCTATTAATCATTGGTTGTTTTTATGTTTAGTATATTTGTTTTTAGTTTTTTTAAATAATAAATTATATTGAAAACGACGTATGAACTATAGAAGTTAATTCATATCTTGAATTGCCATAAATGCGCAATATCTTTATGAAAAAGGGCGTGTATAATAATACGCCAATAGAAAACGTAGTAAATACATTGTTGCACATTTCCGCAGGCGCTTTAGCGCTTTTGAGGACTATATATTGCTTGAGAGCTGTTTCATTGGTGGTTTCATTATACATGATACATGAGAAACTGTTCTATATAATTTATCTAATAAATATTTTTTATTGCTTGACTTCTTATTGTATATGCAGAATTAAACGTATGAAAAAAACTATTATGCGCACGGTCAAATTTCTGAGACCTGATTCCAATCAGATCTTTATTCATTTTCAAAAGAATTCCGTGGCAAAGTGCCGATTCTTGTTGGATCCATTTGCATTCCAATGAAGCAGCATGGCATAGACATTCCGTTATTATGAAATACTCCGAGAGAGATACTGCCCTACTACAAATTTGAATGTAAAATAATAATACCAATTTCGATAGAAAGTTTATACCTTTAACTTCAAATAGCTTGATAGTTTAAATACGTCATTGACTTTGCGACCCATGTATCATTTTCCAATGCGATTAAATGTTTTATTAGATATAAAAATAGAATTATTATTATTCGTTTACAATTCACTTTATTCAAAAATTGAGTATAAAAGTATTGCTTCAACATTTTTTTTTATTTTTAAATCTAAGGTAATCACCAAACCTATTAAGACTAAAACATACCAAAATTGTAAACCTTAGTTTTATGAGCACCTGCAATATGAAAATCAAAACATTTTGGTCATAAAATAAACACAATTTTAGTTTACTATAACGTTTTATATTTAAAACAAAATTTTATTAAACAGTTGAATACATGCAAAGCAAAAGCGCCAATATAGTATACATAAAATTTAATTCGCAATGTATTCACAATTTATATATAAATAATTTATTTGCGTTCCTCTATCTAGGTAATTTATAAAGAATCCCTATGCCAAACCCATGTTCTTTTAGTGTGATCAAACTTGTGTGATAACCATTGAGATTCGAGTAAATTAAAGCGATCCTCACTTAAGTAAAGCGGCTTGCCTCTTCTGAAAATCGGAAACATATGATAATAAAATAATATTTTTGTTTTTCGTGCGAAATTAAACGTGCATTATTAGATAAAAAAGTATATTCTACATATAGAAAATAAATATGGAAAGATGTAAATTTAACTTACTTTAGATCTCTATCTTCCTCATCATAGTCATCTAAATATAAAGAACCCCACAAGCATGCTCTTCTTCCCCTAATTATAATTATGTATGTTGAAGTAACCACTAAAAATATACCAGTTCCACCTCCGCAATCGATTGAATGCTAAAATATTATTTTTAATTTAAAAATGAGATTTTTTAAATTGTAACCTATATATAAAAAAAGACAGTGGTACTCTGACTTAGGAATGACCTAGCACAAAAGTGTTTTAAGATACGAGCCACCGAAGGACAGTTTTATACATGTTAAGTTCGCGTTTTTTGATTTTTGTATATCTTGCAAAATATTATTTGCTTTTATAACTATGGGTCAACAGAAAAGAGTCATGTCTCTTGAATTAAAAAGCGAAATTATTGAAAAATATGAGTGAGGATGTACAAGTAGTATATCACAGATGTACTGGTTTTAAACCACTGTATATGAATGAATTTAGTACTACACACAAAAATAACAATTTGTATAATGTGATACTGAGTTATTCAATGACAAAAATTATAACTATAATAATTACCTGAACTGCTTCACAAACATCTTGTTGCCTACAGCAAGGCTGTTTTAAACAAACTACAGTTCCGCACATCATGCAAATAGAACTCTCCTTAGGTACTGAATTACATTGTTTGCATGGCCTTTCATGATAATACTGTAAAATAATATTAAAATATATATTTTAATTACAAATTATAAACTGTATGCTATTTCAACAAATGCATTATGTTTTATTGATCACTTACTGTAAAAAGCCTTTCATATTCCTGAGGCAATCTGAGTAGTCTAGGTTGGTGCCAATCAACGTGCATATCGACAACCAAAGATTTGGCATGTGTTCTAGCTCGCAATATTAATGTTGTTAGGTCTCGCAACCATATAGATGATGGATCGGTGAAAGAGTTATAATTTAAAGGCCATGACAAGGCTTGAGCAGCATTAAACTTATCCCATTCCATACCTGAAACACAAACAAAAATGTAAATAAAACATAGCAAAATTAAAAACTGCATAAGATTATAAAGTCACATACTATTTTTTGTTAGTTCCAAGTAATAAATTAATCTAACAAATTCAAGTTCTGGTGTGTTAATATCTGGCAGATTTTCACGATATAAATGGTGTCTCAGCAATGCAGCGACGCGAAGGAAAGGCAGGCATAAACGTTGTATCTAATATAAAAGATCATTAAATTACATCTTGATTTCATTAAAAATAATAAAAAATATATCACAATAGATGTTAATATATTTTCTCTACCTTTTGCTCCAGTGCGTGCAAGTTTACTTTGGTCATGGTCTGACTAGTACTGGGTTGAATGGATTCCGTATCATAAAGACCAGTATATCTGAGTGAATTAAGAACAAGACCTAAAGCATTGCAAAGTTTATAATCTCTGGCAAATTCAATATTTGCTAAAATCCAAGTGCGCTCTGGCTCAGTCAAACTGCAACTCATTTGTGTTAGCACTTGGTAGTAGAGTAAATTATACAATACTTTTACAATACATGTGAAATATGCTGCAATAAACATAATAAAATGATTATTAAAATTTACAGAAAAATTCCATAAAAATTTCACAATTTATAGGCACATACATAAATCCAAATGTAGAGGCACTAGAAGTACAAATTTAAACAATAATGCACATGGATCACGCAACAAAAGTGGTACTGATAATTCCTGATGTGTGGATGCAGCTGGTAATAAAGGAGAGTCAGAGTCTGATGTTAAGCCACACAGAGCAGACCACGTACGCCAAGTAGGCCATTCGGCCAGAACTCTAGCATGTACTGAAAGTACGTGCAGAAGTGGGACTAAAAAAAAATGATTAAAAATTTAATTTATTTGTTATAAAAAAGTGTGTATGTAATAATATGCAAGAATATACCTATGCAATCTCGTTTTGGCTTATATCTGACTGAATTGTTTGCACACAATGAACCACCACGCTGTACAATTTCAGCTTCTATATTAATTCTAGCTATTGAGGTCACAAATAAGAACAAACTCTGATGAGAAGGAGCTGAACTTTTCTGTTTAAATTTAAATTGTGTGCTATTAGTCATTTCTTCCATAGCTTTGAACACTGCCTCTGCCAGTGGAGTAGTTGTCTGCAAAATAAGTTTATCGAATAATTTTATTATAATAATTATATTTCATATTATATATATATATATATATATATATATGTGTGTGTGTATATGTATATACATATATGTATATATAAGTGAAAAATATATTTCTATTATGTTAATTATATAAGAATAGTTATAATATAACATAACATATTGTAAGTAATATAATATTAATATTTACTTACAATAGGCTTTTCTATTTCCTTAAGCATTTGAGTCAAATCTGATGCCAATTCTGCCGTTTGTTTACAAGAAGTTTTTACAACAGGATTCAATCTTCCTAGTTGTGGACTAAGAGGTAATACTAGATTTGCCAATTGCCGACAAACTGGGCATAAAAACTCACCACTGAAAATAAAAAAGCAATCATAGCATCTTAGTATATAATTGCAATAAATTTTTAAATAACAATAACAATTGAGTAATTACCGATCTATGTGCAAAGTTTGAGGTCTCTGAGAATTATTAAGGCTTTTTAAGTATGATGTGAGGCAAGCCAAATGTAAATGATGTCCACAGGATTGAACATGTACACCTCCTTCCCAACCCAGATTCACAGACAGCAACCAGGATGGCTGATAAATACAAAAAACATAAAGCTCTAATCTATTATTAAACATGAAATGAATACATAAAATGAATAGGTAATATATAATTTTCTTTTTGATTTGATTTGATTTTTGATAATTATATTTGTAACATATATATATATATATATATATATATATATATATATATATATATATATATATATATATATATTTAACTATATATTTGACTATATATTTAACATATTATTTTCTAAAACAAAAATCTATTTCCTAATTATTTTATAAATATACTCACTGTGTCAAAAAGTTCTAGCATGTCCACAATACGCTTGTCAAATTCTGATGCTTGAGTTGAATCTCTTTGGTTGTTTGTATCCTCATCAGATACTGCCAAAGGTAATCTATCAGGATGTTTTCTACGATGTCCCACCACACTACTCGACTGTAATAATAAAAATATAACAAATTAAATTGATGTATATTATAATTTTTACAAACAAAAAAATATATTTGATTACAATTACTGCTTGAAATTGTTTATTAATATTTGATCAAAATAATGAGAAGTTTTACATACTTGCACAAGCACTACTAGGCCGATTGGATTGTCTTCTGCACTTGGAGAAGTCGTATTACATATAATACAATCATATTCCTTTTCATGAGGCTGTTCTTCTTCTTCGCGCCAGTCCATGTCCGTTACATTGTCGCCTAGAATTATAAATTCAATGGATTATAAATATATTTAGTATTACTTAATCTATAAATTTTCATGCTAGTATCATACATTATTATATTTCAAACACAAACCTGACTCCATTGCTTTTTCCATAAATTGTTTCTGTTTATTTGCAAATTCTTGCATTAACCTTTGTTGTCTTTCCTTTGCCCTGCGACTTCTTTCTTCCTTTTCCCTGTTGAAGGTATTTTTAATGCATATTACTCATAAATAATAACTAACTAAATAACAATATATTTTTATTATGTTATACCTCTTTTCTTTAGCTCTTTGTTCAGCCTGTTTTTCTCTTTGATTAGGCCATAGTCGTTTTCTTATATCCGATATGTTTTGTTTACATAAAATATCTAATGCTGCTATTTTCCTCAAGAGATTTCCAATAAAAAAGGGACCATCACCTACGAAAAATATGTCGTATATTAAAAAAATTTCTTAAGTAGCTTATAATTAATATAGACTTATTTTATGAAATAAAAATAAAGTCAATTGAAAATTTCATAAAAATACCTATTCGTTTGTCATAGTCATCTGGTTTATTAGTACTAGAATTATCACAGCTCTGATTATCACTGGTTGAAGAAGTTCCCGCAGCAAATTCTGGCGTCTCCTCTAAAGAAAAACTATCCAAAGTTCCGCTAAGCTGCGAATGCAGCTTTAGTAGTAATGATATTATGCTCTCATTTATGACTACCGTGCTAGGATCGGAGACATTACCCTAAAAAATGTTTACTTATTAACTTCCTTATTAAAATAAATATTACCACTGATATTAAATCGGTTACGCATCACATATTTAAAATAAAGAATTTATTAATTGCTCATTGAAAGATCTATCAAACTATTGTATAAATTCATATTTTTAAGTCCGGTATATATTTATTGTTGAACTACAATAGAAGTTAAAAAAGTTATACGTTTTCTCACATTTATATATCAAAACATTTTTTTCTAATATTTATATGTTGAAATTTGTGATTACAGAAAACTTTGCTAAACAGGCTCTCATGAAAAGCTAATAAAAATGCTAACAATTTAGATGTTTGTCGTAACATTTGTCTAAGTGAAATCCTAAATGCTTAGCAAAGTTAATAACTTCTGAACAAGAACTCTTCTAATCATTTCTAATTACCTCAACAGGCATTCTTTTATAAGATTTACGTGCGCCTACGGATTGAGGTATGATGTCTGAATTACGACTGGGCACGGCCACAGGTTGAACACGGGCAAACGGCAAAAATACCGAATTACCGGACGGAAACATTTCTGATCCGGACAATAAAGCCGGTGCTCCTATAAAAAAAAAAAACAACATAAAAATTGCAAATCATGATATAAAAATAATATCATTCACAACAAAACGCGTGTTTACCAGAATGACTAGGTGTAGGTTCAGCATTTGTATCTCTCAAAGCAACTTCCATGCCCACTGCCATCATATCATTCTCAGTATCAGGAAGTGCTGGATCAGGCAAAGCCAGCGCCAAAGACTCAGCAGTCATTTCTATGTCTTCAGCTTCTTCAGATACTAAAGATTGCTCAGGCACCATAGATAAATCTAAATCATAATATATTATTATATAGTCATAATCAAAAATTGGTACATACAACATAAAGCACTTACAAATATAATTATTAGATGAACATAACGTAATTTATCATTATATCATTATATAGTCATTTTTATATAAGAATTGGTTTTATATAAAAAGGTTGTTTAATCTATAAATATAGAAGAATTTCGCTAATCCGGCACTTGAATAGACGAACTCCTCCAATAATCCGACACACTCAGCGACCAAAGCGCTAAACAATCTGTTGGAAACTAGCTTTTCAACTATTTCCGCTATTTTCAATATGCTATCAATGTCAATTTTAACTATATTCCAGTATTCCGGAACTCTTTGGTTTCAAATACTGACGCGTTAGTGAGATTTTACTGCATATATATTTATATAGCAAAACAAGTATTTAAAAAAAACTGTTTGTAAACAAGGTTGAAATACAAAATAACACTTTGAATAATCTACGCAATGAATCCATTATCAAAACTAAAATTGGATTACTTTATTTTTATAACTATCTCTCATAATCACCTTGGGGTAGTGCTAAATCTCTTCTTTGTGGCAAAACCAAAGCACTGGAAAGATTTGGGTCTCCACTAATCATTCTGAAAGGAGAATTTGATGCCACTGGAGTCAAATCTGTTTCAGACGTATCCCAATCGTTATCAGCTGAAATATTAAGAGAACATTCTTATACTGTTCTTAATTTTTAGCTATAAATTTAAGAACTAACCTTCAAACATGTAATTTGCCGGAGTAACTTGTGGTTCTGGTGGAGCTAAAGCAACCCGAGGAATAACCGTTCTAAGATTCTCGCTCAATGAATCATTTCTAAAACAATCCAACATTTCGTAATCCCTCTGCTGTTGTGCCGATGTGCATGACGTATATTGGCAAACGGGTGACTACAAAAAGATATTCATTAGCTATGAACACAATCATGTAAAACACTAGTATGTTTTATGTGTATGTGAACATAAAACGAATATGTTTGCTATTCTAAATTTGTGAAATATTTACTTTATATGCATCTGGATCAACACTGTCGACAGCCATTTCCAAAAGGAAAATAGCCAAAGCCAAAACTTGTTCCGAAACACTAGTAGTATGTACTGCTCTATACAGAACTGAGAGTAAAGTGGCGTGCAGAACGCGAGAGTGCAGCAAGCGGGTAGGGTTAAGACAGCTTTCAGTTTCGCTCTGGTGCGATTGATTATTTCGAGCAAAACACTGCGGCGAACGGAATGGTGGCCATAATGTACTTTGGGCAGGCAATTTATATTCTTGTTTGACGCTGGACAAATAAAAATTATATCAAGATATATCGGAAAAACAGTTAAAATACGCATTCTTTACACTCACTAAGCGGCAAAACGATCCATAGAACTTTGAAAATCTCGTCTGTGAACAGCGCGCAGTAATACATGCAAAGGATCATAGTGTTTCTCCCAAACAATTGGCAGTGGAACAAATAAACCTTGTTCCAGATTTTCTGATCCTTTTGGAGGTGGTCGATACGATGATGAAAGCTGAAAAACCGACATTTAAGTTATAATAATAGTATAAACATATATATCTTTATCAGCAAACCTCTCTTAAAACGGTCTCAAAATTTTTAGTATGTGCATTTCCAGAACGTTCTGGCATTAATTCCAACAACTGACTATGAGTTTTGTCGCTTGTAGCAAGAAGTGCGCTGATTTCTAATTGGGATTGCAAAAGCTCGTCACTACCTATGGGGTTGAAATATAAAAATTTACATTAATATAAAAAATCCAATATTCTATTTTAACAAAAAAGTATTACTTACATTTTCCCATGTTTGTTTTAGATGAAATGAGCGTTGCTAAATATGTTAGAAAACCTTCTAGCATTGAATCTTGTTCTAACTCTTTAGCTGGAGTTAGTGTACCCATGCCCAACCATTCTTTAATTCCAAACCTGTGAATAATATGATATTAAATCAATTATTCAAGCCCTAGTTATAGTACTTAAATAAATGGCTATAATAAATATAAAATATAGTTATAGTAATGGTAAATCCAGAGTAAAATTGAAAAAAGACGAATCACATTTCCAAAACATTAGCAGCACATAACGTCAAAATATAGTTATAGTAAAGGTAAATTAAATCAAAAGTAAAATAGAAAAAAAGCCGAATCACAATTTCAAATTTCTTTTGGCAATAGGCAGAA